GAAAGAAATAGAGCGAAGATGAAGAGAGACATGAGGAAGAAGAAATAGAAGAAAAAGGAAGCAGTTAACATAAAAGGAAGAGAAGGAAAACGAGGAAGAGAGGGAAGAAGAACTGAAAAGAAGAAAAAGAATAAAGAAAAAGAAATAAGAGGCATTAACTCTATAAATAGATCAGAAGATAGACGAATATATAGATAGAAGATAGATAGACGAAATAGATAGATAGATATATAGAGGATAGATAGATAGATATAGATAGATAGAATAGAGCAGATAGACGAGATAGAGATAGATAGATAGATATAGAGAGATAGATTAGAATAGATAGACAGAATAGATAGATAGATAGATAGATAGGATAGATAGAAATAGATAGTCGAATAGATATAGATAGAGAGAATAGAGAGATAGATAGATAGAAAATAGATAGCTCGAATAGATAGATAGAGAGATAGATAGAGAGATAGATAGAAAAGATAGATAGTCGAATAGATATAGATAGAGAGATAGATAGATAGAAAATAGAATAGTCGAATAGATAGATAGATAGATAGATCTCGAATAGATAGATAGAGAGATAGAGAGATAGATAGAAAAAATAGAGAATAGATTAGAGAGATAGATAGATAGAATAGATAGATAGATAGATAGAGAGAGAGAGATAGATAGATAGGCGGGTAAGCAGAAGAAATAAAGGAAGAATTTTACATCAATGCACTTTCTCGCTGCCTTTTCGATGTTGCTTGTTTGTTTGTTTTGTTGTTTAAATGTTTGTGGCTGTGTTTTGTTTTATTCGTTGATTGCTGTGTTTGTTTGTTGCTGTTTATTTGTTTGTTGAGGTTATTGCTTGTTTGTTGTTAATTTGTTTGTTGTTTTTGTTTTTTGTTTTTTTGTTTTTTGTTTGTTTGTTATTTATTTATTTTTTTGTTTGTTTTTATTTTGTTGCTGTTTTTGTTTGTTGTTTTTGTTTTTTCTTTGTTACTGTTTTTGTTTGTTTGTTGCTGTTTTGCGTATTTATTTATTTGTGCGTTTTGCTGTGTTTTGTTTTTTTGTTGTTTCTTGTTTGTTTGTTCTTGTTTATTTGTTTGTTGTTGTGAAGGTAGATAGAGATAGAGAGACAGATAGGTAGATATATGTAAATAAATAAATAGATAGTGTATATAGATATAGGTAGATATCATATAAATACAGGTAGATAGATGAAGATAAATAGATAGATAGATAATGTATACATAGGTAGACCTATATAAATGCAGATAGATCGATAGAGACAGACAGACAACTTTAGATTAAGGTCAAGACACCCACGCGGGAGAGATGATGATAATAATAATAATAATAGTAATGATAATAATAATAATAATAATAATAATAATAATAATAATAATAATAATAATAATAATAATAATAATAATAATAATAATGATGATGATAATAATAATAATGATAATAATAATAATAATAATAAAATAATAATAATAATAATAATAATAATAAGGATAAGGATAATAATAATGATAATAATAAATGATAATGATAATAAGAATAAGAATAAGAAATAAAAATAAAATAAAAAAAACGAATGGCCGGACAAATGGGGGAAGCGAGCAGGGGAGAGTGGGGGGAGGGAGGAGGAGGGGGAGGGGGGGTGGAGGTGGCAGACGGACGGGCAACATGTGGCAGAGACATGGAATGACTCGCTCTCTTAATAAGACCCCAAGGGACCCCAGCGCGACCCCAGCTCTCGCCACGTCGCAGGAGCCGGGGCGAAAACATGGCTGAGGGATGACGCATTGATCTGTCGCCGCCATTGGACAGACAGACAGACAGACAGACAGACAGACAGGAAGATAGACAGACAGACAGATAGACAGGTGGATGGATAGACGGACAGTGAAGACAGACAGAGAGATAGGTGGATGGATAGACTGATAGACAGACAGACAGAGAGATAGGTGGATGGATAGACGGACAGACAGCAGACAGAGAGACAGACAGACAGATAGACAGATACAGGCAGAGACAGAACAGACAGGCAGACATAGACATACAGATAGATAGACAGACAGACAGACAGACAGAAAGACAGGTGGATGGATAGATAGACAGACAGGCAGACAGACAGAGACAGACAGACAAACAGACATGGAGCAGGATGGTAGAGTTGGGTCTTCCACTGCTCTCTTTCTCTCTCTGCTTGTCTCTACTCTTTCTCTTTTTATTTTTCTTTCTTTCTTTCTTTCTTTTCTTCGTTTTTACTTCTCTTCTACTTCTTGTCCTGCTACTTCTCTTGTTTCCCTGTTTGTCTTCTTTTTTATCGTATTTCAACTTTATCTTCTTTTTATCTATTTTTGTTCTCTTCCTCTTTTCTGCTTTCTATAGTTTTTTTTTTCTTCTCTCTTTCTATCTGGGTCTCTCTCTCTCTCTCTCTCTCTCTCTCTCTCTCTCTCTCTCTCTCTCTCTCTCTCTCTCTCTCTCTCTCTCTCTCTCCTCTCTCTCC